TCTCTCTCTCTCTCTCTCTCTCTCTCTCTCTCTCTCTCTCTCTCTCTCTCTCTCTCTCGTTTACTTCATTTGAGCTCAGCTGAATTATTTTTCTTTGCTTCCAAGACTCCAAATATATACCAATGTAACATTTTAAAAATGTTAGAAAAGCGTTAACTGGTTCTAAAGAAATGGGTTTGTGTCTAAATGGAAAAATCAGTAAAATTTCAAATGGAGCCTTCAAAGGAATTAGTGCTTCTTTGTTGCAATTCTTATTCATTCTTTATCTCATTGGATTGTTGTTTTTGGGTGTCATCAAAGGTACAATAGTCACTTCTTCTCTTACAGGTTGCTTTTGTGTGTTTGAATTAGAGGACTGAACAACCCAGCTGCATCTTTGGTAAATTGTGTTGTTGTTACTGAGCTCCCTGGATCAAATAATTCAACTGAATCTGCAAACAAAGCAGCACATTAATCTCAAATCAGAGAATTTAAAAATGAAAAGACATGAAATTCACAAAACATCACCCCCTATTTTTGAGGGCAGAAATTGAAAGAAACACATTAATCTCAAAGTAGAGAATTTACTTGGAGTTCATTGGTTTTGAGGGCAGCCATTGTAAGAAGCACAAATAACCCACAAAACATCACCACCTGTGTCAATTTGTACATAAACGTCTCTTGGCGGAGATCACAGCCTAAATTTATTGTAGTATGATCTGTTTAAAATCCAAACACCAAACGGAGCAGAAGACCAAAAAGCCAGAGAAACAAATTTTTGATTGAGACATGAAAATAGCAGACAATAACTCAAACACCTTATAGGCAATGAAAATCATGTTTTCAGAAGATGAAGATGGAAACTTTAGTTACCCAACAAAAAAAGGATCAAAAATTCCCTCGACGAAAAATTAAATAATCCGCCGAGTGACTGTAACAATCAATTGTAACTTGAGTTGAATAATTTCCATCTCTTGGCTAAGGGAATAATCTTTTTTCAGTTTCAGCGCCGCTGGAACTCTCATCCTCATATCAACTCCATATCATCACAGAGAATCTTCGCCATACTTTCGACTAAGGCCACTTCATATTGAACGGAAGCAGCTAAGATCTTCCATCTCCATATGGTTTGTATTGAGCCAATAGTAGATAAGACAGCGACCGGAAGCAATCCGTAGTGTTTATTAACAAATCTTGTGGAGAGGAAGGAGAAAGACAAAAAGACAAAAAAAAAATCTACAGTTGGATAAATACAACGGCCGTGGAAGAACAACATATTGATTTAAAATCATAGAGGAAGACAAATGATGCAACCATTATAGTGAAAATTAGATTTATCTCAATATTAGGAGATGTAAAGATATGATGTTGGACAAGATTCATTGAATTCTTGACCGTGGTCATAGTGGTGAGAAACAGTTATGTTTGAGTTAATGATGCCAATCTATGAAATTTGTAACGGTTCAGAGGTAGAGGATAGAAGACAAAACAGTTTGAACATAAAACGACTTTGAGATTACTGACAATTCGTCTACAAAAAAACATGATCTCAGAACTGCCATTAGCAGACAGAATCAACAAAATCCTAAAGCAGATGAACTCTAAATTTGCGAGTCAAGAAGAAGATGCAAGTGTCACGGGCCAGCCCAGAAACATAACACAAAACAACAGCTATGCCCTTATCAATTGCATACTCAATTAAATGAAATTGTGTGTTTGGAAGGAATGGGACATGTGTCGCCCTGAAAATCATCGACTTAGTGACGTGTATTCATGTGAGAGAAGCCAACATTTCTTTATATATAGATATGTTCGGTCCGCGCTACGCGTGGGATATACTTTACGTATGATATATGAATCTATACTATTTTATATTCTCATTGCGTGTACTGTATATCTAATATGCAAAAGAATGTATGAGCATTGTGAGATTATATATGATAAGAAAAAATCCAAGTCAAACTAATTAAACCAAACACAAACAACCAAACTAAATTCAAACCAAACCAAATACAGACCAAACCAAAATAATTTTGGTTAAATTCAATTGAAGTTTTTTACAACCCAAACAAACAAAACTGAACCAAAACTAAATTTAAACCAAAATGCCCACCCCTACCCATAAGGTTTGTCACTATAACTATTATTGACCAAAAAAATTTGATACGGTTGGTGGCTGAGTGATTCATATTTTTGTGTTGGTTTTATATTTGTTTGTTTATAAGCACAGTCTTTCAACATTCCATCAATTTGACTTCTTAATATGTTAATAGTGTTCATAGTAAACAAAAGGAAGTTGCAAATACAATGTTTGTTAACACGATAATATGTTAGTTTTACTTTTAAATTTTTAATGTTTGTTAATATTTCTAACTTGTTTTCATTTTTTATTTGTTGCCAAATATAATTTATGACATTATACTATTTTGGTTATGATTTTTTTTTCTTGTTATCGCTTTTGGTTTAATAAAAGCACATCCTCATCTCATTTTTGAACGTGGTTAACTAAGATTATTTTTATATTTTTATTAATCTTATTAGATATAATAGTTTTGTATTAGTATAAAATGATTTTAATTGTTATACCTTTTCTTAATGTTTGCACAACTTTTTATATATATAGTAAGTAGAATGGATGTTTTATTGATGTTGTTAGGTTTAACAATCAAAACACTGATTATTTTACATTTATGAACGTATTTGTAGTTTTATTTCTTTTTACATATTTTATTTTAATATTACTAATTTAAATAATGTAAAAATGAATATATAATTTGCAGTAATAGAAAAAAATTGTTTTTAAAACATAATGAAAACATAGTTTTAATTATTAGTATTTAAATAAATATATGAGTGAATATTTTATATCTTTATATTTGAAGACTAAGTAAAAATATTATCCAATAACCGATTAGGTTTTGTAAGAAATGTTTACTCATTAATTTTGTATTTTTTAATATTGGATTTCTTATAAATAATTAATTTATTTTTAAAAAAGGTTATTTTATCTTTATCAAAAACATTTATCTATTTTATTAGACTGTCATTTATTTAAATTTAGTTTCACTAATTATATTTGATCGGAAGTTAATAACTTATCCAAAAAAAATTCGGGTCAACGATCTATTTCTCCATGAGAACTATCATATAACATCAGATATCTACTGAACTATGACCTCGTGCCACATCTTTTTGAACCGAAAGTTACAAACTTATTTCTCCCCGAATCGATAGTTTAAAACTTAATTACTCATATACTATAATTTTCATTGGTTTATTGTTAACCGTATAACTTAAACCAAATAAATAAGTCAATAATCCATTTGTTATCCAAAAAAGTAATGCTCATATACTATTCATACTCCACACTATGACTATCATCAATGAAACCTTGAAAAATTCATATTTGAGAGACTTTGAAAACTTCTTTTTTGATAAAATTAAAATTTTTGTTTGGTTTTAAAATTGTTTGGTTAACAATAAACCGATTAAACCATTGTTTATTTATAATTAAGTTTCAAACTATTAATTCGGGAAAAAATAGATTTCAAACTATAGATTTAGGGAGAAGTAAGTTTATAACTTATAATTCGTGGAGATATAGCACGAGGTTATAGTTTGATGGATATTTGATGTTATATGATAGTTTTCGTGGGAAAATAGTACGTTTACCCAAAAGATTCTGATGTTTGTTTGTAACTGTAGTTATTTGTTTGTTTTGCTTGATAAATTTGGGGGAAAATGGCAATATGTCCATTATTATGAAGAATGGTGGTGGAGTGTGTTGTCGTTCACAATAAATTTGTGGTGTTTATAAAATTTCTGTTAACCATGGTTGTGGCCTTATCTGTGTTGTTTTTGGAAATGGCTTCTCAATTGTTTAACCATATTGTGCTTTGTATAGTGGGTTGGTTCTTTTAATACGGTTAGGGTGTCTTTGAAACTTTGGCAGCATAAATATTGGTGGAGTCGTTGTTTTTTAAAGTAAGAATATAACCATTAGTGGGTTTATCTTGGTCTAATAGAGAACTATTTAGGTTGGGGAGTTGTTAGCTCCGAGGTTAATACATAGTGCTGGAGGGCGTATTTAATATTTGTTACGATGTGTTGCTCTATCGCTTGGTATTGGCGTTTCTTAGACTAAGTTCGTTGAGTTTGTTCTTGCGCATTTGGTGGTGTGAAGGTGGACATTTATTTTTCTTGGCTTGTGCAGAAGTTCATTTATATGACCTGGTGGTGTTTATGTGTCTGTCTGTCCCAAATGCTGTTATCAAATGGGGGTGGGTATAATAGTTATAAGTGATTAATGGGATGCTCTGTTCCTGGTGTCACTACTATAAAATATATACCATCGTTTAAATGTTGGTAGTTTTGACCCACAAATCTCAGCTACTATGTAAGTTTCTTGCATTATGTTATTATTGATTCATGATTTTCCGCTATAATACTACTCAATCTGGGTTAGGGATTCAAAGACCACTTTTATAACTATTCCACTTGATTGGTGTAAGAGAGAAACTAAACTACACCAGCATATATAGACTTTCCCACTTTTCATGCAAAAATCTCTTATAGTAGGATAAACCTAAAATATATTCTCAATGAACCTTCAAAATGGTTTGGAAGCAAACTTTTTTTCTGAATACCAAATACTTGCTTAAACCAAGTCATTTGCTTTTATCATTTCTTGGGCAGTTTTAAATTTAACCAAGAGCTCAAACAATATCTGGAACAAACATAACTCTTCTTGGTTTCTTCCTTGGTAAGCACAGCAAGACCAACATCTATTCTTGTGGAGGGTGGATCTGAAGATGATACACCAAGCTTCAAGGAAAAATCACAGAACCTCTTTGTTCTTCCGTCCGGAGCCTTTATACTAATAGGCATGCCAATAATTATTGGCGTCTCAGGGACTCTTAAAGACATGTCCACTTGCTGGGTCTGCTTATGACCTCCGTAATACAAAGGATATATCACATACTGGGCTAGTTTCAGTGCTTTCATCTCTTCTAATAATGGTGGCAATGACATCACTGACTATATTCCACATAGTATAAGCATCTCTATACTCTTCATAATATCAAACCCCAACGTCAGCAAAATTCAGATATGAAAACACAGAGAACACTTGGTAAGAAGAAGAAGAAGAAGAAGGACCTCGGAGTTGGCTTTAGAGTACATGATTTCCTCAGCTTTCAAGACAACAACAGGCAGATTCTCCTGCCATTCTTTGTTCTTCCTCGTAGCCGTCCAGCACCGTGTGTTTTCATGGCGAGTCTGAAACCATCAAAGATTTAGAAACCCTAAAAAAAGGGTGTTAACTGTGAGAGAGAAAGGAAGAAACCTGAAGATCTGGCTGATGATGGAACCTCGAATGGGTTGGTGACTCAGAATATACATATAACAAAGAAAGAAAGAAACTTGTTTCCTGAATCAAGGAAACCAATACAATGATCTATAATAAGATCTATCAAAATCAACCCAGACAAGCAAACCATCACCAATCTAAGAATATAATAACAATAGACTCAGCTTAAATCAGACTCTTGTCACTATCAGCGAGGTTATTATTGTTTATGCAAAATCCCAAACAACAAACCAATTCGAACCAAAAAATCGATACAACTAAAATCGATCTATGTATCCTTGAATTCCAATAAGAATATCAGTTAAAGCAAATCAGTGTTGAAGGTATCCCAATCACACGACTGATGATCAAAGATAATCAGATTAAATCTGAACAATCATTAGAACACAAGAGAGAAGCAAATAAAAAGTTATAACTAAAATATCAATCACCAAAAGAAGAAACAGAGATCTGCGATAATACCTCAGAACCAAGAGGCTTAACCACCATAGCCAGCGACATAAAGAGAAGGAAAAGAGATCTGGAGAAGACTCGGAGCCGCTCGCAAAGGAGGAGATGCAGCAAATCATTAGAAGACTTTGACGTTTGTTTCTTTTATAAGAATCAGCATCAGTTCTCATAAATAATCAAAACAGGGTGAAAGCAAAACATGGAAACAAATTGTCGACCTACACAGACTTTAGGTGCTACAGCGTCCAGTCAAACGATTCAGCAAAGAAAATATAAACCCAGCAAAGAAAACATAAACGCAGCGTTTGTGCGGACGAGACACGTGTCCCTACTCTATCAATTAATTTATCTGTGTGGCAAGCTGACGTGGACATAATGATCTGACGCCTACGTGGATGCTTTTAGGAGAAAAGAAACACTGGAATATATAATAGATACTAGGATCGATCCACGTTACCGGCGGAATATAATTGACTTATAATTTAGGTTATTGTTTTTTTGTATAATTTTCTAATTTGTGTTTTAGGTTTGCATTTGCAAGAAATACATATGATAATGATTTTTGTCTTTTAAAAAGTTTTAGGTGAAATAAAACTATATGTGATAAAAATATATTTTGCTTGTTTAAAATTTTTGTTTATATATTAAAGAGTTGTGACATTGATATATTGTAAGGGGTTCAAATAGTTTTCATATTGTCTTTTTAAAAGATAAAATTGATCTATTTGGTGCGTTATTTGTGAGTTGTAAAACTTTTGTATAAAATTTGTGTCAATAGTCTTGGGCTGTAGACTGATAGTATTGGTAATGGATTATGATTGACTGGCCACAATATTTTAGTTTAAGATATAAAAAATTGAAGTTGTCAAGTGAACATATTTTATATTTTGATGTTTTTTGTTGAATTGTCTTAAGTTTGAAGTTAGGGATGAGTTTCACATGGGCAAGTAACCTTACAAAGTTTTCTTATATTAAAATAAACTGTTTAAATGAATGCTTAGAAGACATAAATTCTTTTCTTTATTTTCAAGAATATGTATTGACATATGACTATAGTATCAATACTATTAAAAGAGAAGGAGTCCTAAAAAATCTACATATACAAGTTGTTTGGACTCTTTTATTTAACTAAGCATTTTTGGTCTTACCTTATATGTTGTAACAATACTTTGCTTAATATCATAGTTTTATCCGATTTTTACTCCTTTCTCTAACAATACAATAGTATTAATTAATATTATTGTTATCGGAAGTATAGGAAATCAAATTAGAAATTGGGCCCCTCATATGCATTTCTATGCATGCAACCCGCCATTATATATATACCCTAATTGTTTATGCTTCTTGGTAAAAACGAACTACAGTACATACCCGATTTAGTACAATATATAGTCTTTCCATGAACTTGTCTAATAATATAATCATTCGATTAAAATAAAGTTCAAAATCTTTTTAACTCTATTTTGTGTCTCATTGTAGTGATTGTTAATCAATAAATTTATAGACTATATTTTATACTCAGGATCTACAATATATAGATATTAATTAATATTAGATAGCATATATCATGAAACATAGTGTACCATGCCATCTTACATTATATAGTTTTAAATATTACAAAAAAACTTTATAAAAACATTTTCGCAAAGCATATATATATATATACTAGGTTAACTTAATTTTTCTAAAAGTATTATAATAAAATAATGATGAGAAAGTTTAACAACTATTAAAATCCCTACCAATATATTTAATGAATTAGCTAAAAACTTTACCAAATAAATCTTAACCCATGTAAATTTAACAAATGCATCTTTATAAAATACACACAAAATATAATGAGAAGTAGGTTTGGATATTCGGGTATTCGGATCGGTTTCTTTCTATCTAGGTTTTTTTTGGGTCCTTAACATTTGGACCCATATAGATATGAATTTTTTTTATTTGGGTTAGTTGGTTTATTTCTATGTCTGGGTCGTTTCGATATCAAAATTAAAATACATGTATATTTGGCTATGTAGCAGATCTAGGTCGGTTCAGATATTTAAAATCTGAAAAGATTAAAAGTATCCGAAAACCCGAAAATAGAAAATATCTGAAAACTCAACAAATACCCAGAATATATTCAAATACTTGAAAAAATATATGAAATTCTTCATGAACTATAGAAATCAAAAACACCCAAACTTTTATCTGAATAACCGAATATATTTTTTTTTTTTAATTTTACTTAAAATCTGAAAGTATAACTGAAAACACAAACTCAAAACAGAAAAAGAATATATGTAATACCAAAAACATATCGGAAATATCCAAATATACCTAATATACACAAAACATTTCATGTACTTTGGGTATCCGACCGAGGCTTGGGTAGGATCCATACCGAACCTAGGTTCGATGGTTCAAAAAAAAAACCCAATATGTACATTTCTTTGGACCCTGAGGCAATCATTTTTTCCGATTCGAGTAAATGCCTAGCTTAAGAGAGAGAGAGAGTTATAGAAAATATACATACAAAATCTCAAATAAACTAATTCAAAAATTATATAATTCTAAACATATTTTCTTCTTCAATACAATTTTGTAATATAATAATATACAACAATCCCAAAATATTAATTCATATCAAATTTTATAATCCGTAAAACATGCGCTTCCAATGCGCGGATCAAAATCTAGTTGTATATTAATGTAGTTTCCATCGCTGCAAAAAAAAATAGATATGTAAATCTTTTGCCAAGTATAAATCTTTTTGCCAAGTACAAAATTGTTTTTCTTTAGAAAACACAACATTGGTAAGTTATAAATTTGTTTATGTAAGCTTCAATTTACGTAAAGTAATGACACATTTTTTCAAGGATCTAGAGCGTTTTAATTTCGTAAAGTTTGGTCTAGAGTGGTTTTTTTTAATTTGGTGCATTATCCTAATTATATAGTATTAGAGCATTTTTCCAGGCTACGCCCGGATTTATTTTCATAAATTTTTAATTCAATTTAAAATATGATTTATAATTTAAATATGTAATATATATTGGAAACTTTGACAAATATAAATTATTAAAATTAAGTTTCACTTCTTAGAATATAAAACGTAAATAATGATTAAAACATATATTACATCATTTAAAATATTATTACAGTAAAATTAGTTAAAACTCCAATAATTTAAAGTTTTGATTTTTTTAACTATTTTGTTCATTCTATTTGATTCGTATTGTATAATTAGTGACTAAGAGTTTAAGTTCTTCCCAATAAAATTAATCTCTCTAGAAATACACATGAATAGAAACATTGTTGAATTTTCATACAATTTCAAAAGTGTTGGGTCTAATAATTTTATCACCTTTGATAAAAGATAAACAGTTGATTTATTGAATATTTTCAGAAACTTCATAAATGTTGTTAGAGGTATGATGGTAAGTCCCTGGACGCTAATAAAAGGTACGACCTAATGTTTATTAAAAAAATTCATGTGATTTTATAAATTTTTAAAATATTTCCAGGGTATCTTAAAAAATAAACTATTTATCGAAGACATGAAAATATACTAATTTGATTATCCTGTTAGAGTAATTGATTTTATAAATTCTAATTATATGAATGATAAATAGCGCCGGTTTTTCTAACTTTATTTAATTATTTTTATACATAATTTAAATATATGATTTGGTTGTTAATACACATTTTATGTTATTTTATAAATTTAAAAAATATTTCCATTGTATCTTAAAAAATAAACTATTTATCAAAAACATGAAGATATATTAATTTGATTATTTTAAACTCATTAAAAAATAAATTAAATTCTAATTATATGCATGATATTTATTAAATATTTAAATAAGAATATTTCTTTTTATTTTATTTTCAAATCTGTTACATTTGAAAGAGTTTAAAATAATAAGATATATTTTATATTTGAAAGAAAATACGTATGAATAGTCTACATCAATATTTCAAAGTGGATTATTTTGTCAAACTAAATGTCTAAAAGAGCCCAAACCAAAAAACAATATTATTAAAATACTATATTACCTACTTAAGTGAACTATTAGAGGACTTTCTTAGAATCGATTTGAAAATATAAAACATATTTTGCTTATTTAAATTAGCAGAACATAGTTTTTACAAAACATGATAAGTAATCTATTATGAAAAATATGATGGATATTAATATCATATACCTTTGGAACCTGGAGAAAGTTTTAAAAAGAGAGAAACTCACTTCGTTAAAGATAGCAATAATCAAACCATAAATGGCGAAAAGTCGTCGAACATCCATATTAAAGCAATGAGCATGAACCCAAACTATAAAAGAGGTACAAATAGAACATAAACATGAAGATTTTAAGATGTTCAAAAATACTTGCAAGGTTCATTACTTGCCATTATTCGTATGGCGACTGAGACTGCATAAATCTGTTAGAAAACAATGAGAAAACAAAGTGAGATTAGATAAGAGAAAAGATAATGTGAAAAACTATAGCTTAAAAGACAGCTTTGACTGTATAAAACGCGCTGATGGTAACACTCAATCAAGGCTGGTGAGAACTATACCAGAAGCGCCTCGTGCAGCGTCTCTGTAGCAGCAGCAACATCGATACCAATTTTGCTCTCTTCGAAGCAGGAGCATCCATCACCAACTACATATATGCTGTTAGTACTTCTGCTCTAGATGAAACATAAACCAAAACATCGCTTAAGAGAAAGAGCGAGCATGTTCATGAACAAAAAAACTCTTCCTAACCAACCTGGGAAGACAGCAGCAAAGCCATCAGCTTTCTCAATGAACGGTTCAACGGGAACAGCAGTAGGCTTTCGTCTTTGTGATTACCAAGTAATGAAGCTGATGCTGATGGATACATGTTTGATCCCATATCGAGCCTATGTCGAGTCCATTTGGCAATAGCAAGTTGATCCCTTATAAGAAAACCAATACAACATAAGACTAAAGCCAAAGATAGAAGTAAATAGACATATATTAACCAGCGATCACCTTGATGTTGATATTGATACTGTATTACAGTATCATTTCTTGGAGGATCAAACAAAGCAAACAGAGCAACGAATTCACATGGACAACCAGAGCTTTTTTAATATCATCAAAATAAAAAGGTTTTAAAGGTTAAATCATTGAAGAGAAGAAACAGAACTAAAACATGAAGTGGAGTAAAAAAAAATCAGTTCGTAGGTACCTACTTTGGAGCTCTTTTTTCTTACTCGGTGCTAGCTTCCATTACTATCGATATAATTCGACTGGATTGAATCGGAAGATGTGAATCCCTCTAATACCAACTCTTGCGTCTTTGGGGTCAGCAAGCATTCCCATCATAATAGATAGCATCTTCTTTTCTCAATACTTTTGAGAATACATAAAATTACAACATGAAACAGAGCTTATAACCAATTAAAATAATACCAATATAACCTAGAAAATTGACTGAAGATAATAAAATACATAAATTTCCCTGAAGAACAAACAAAAAATTGAGACTTGGGATAAGATCAAACTCACATAATCGATGTGCTGTGTTGTCAATTAATCTAAATCTTTCTTTTGGTTTGTTTTCTTTAATATTAAGACTTTGGTTGAACCCGTATCTCAAGCAGAATGACCTGAACCTATGTAATCATACTCCATATCACTGATTGCATCGAGTGCCCCTAAAAAAATCAAGTTTAATTATAGTAGCATATACATTAGCGTATACACTTTAACTGAAACCAAGAGTCTGAGAAAAAACTCTTGCTTCACAAACTATTAAGCAGAAGAGGTGTATGCCCACAGCGGTACTCCTCAATAATGTAAGAAACCTAACTTTTCATCGATAACAAAAAAAAAATCAGAACCCCTAAAAAGTTAGGCTACTCTAAAAAGAAGAATTGAAACAAAAAGAACGTACAAATTTTTCCCAGTGTTCATATGTTAAATGCACAACCTCCAAAGTTACATCAACCTGTAAATGGCACTACAAGAATTAGTATCACGTGTATGGTGTCAAGCCCGGGCCTGCTAATGTCATGGGATAAAGCTGAAGATAAAAGGCAAAAAAGATGAGTTTTTCAAAATGGGTTAAGATAAATACAGAAGAAATTTTTTTGTTTTCTTTTATAGTGAAGGAAGCTTTATTATTACTGCGAGTTCTCCAGCTCTGTAGAAATTGACTTCAGTGTAAGCTTTGGTAGTAATAAGCAGAGAGGAGAACTGGCTTCTAGTAACAAGAACCAACAAACATAGAATGAAAGAACGATATCTATGGCTGATGATTCTGAGATGACGTTTGATACGAAGATGTTCAACCAAGATGGAACCAACATCTGAGTCAATCTGAAAAAGCTTAGAAAATTCCTGTAGGAAAAGTATCTGAAGATAGCAAATGGGACGGAGGAGAAGACAGACAAGGAAGATTAAAGTTGTTCGGTAAAGCCAAGAACAAAGCTCCATTACACAAGTGACTGTATCGCTTAAGATAATCCTAAAAAGGTATTTGAGATCCACCTGAGGCGTACCACCATATGCACTCATTTCTGTGAAACAAGGGATCACAAAGTAGGCAACAATATGAAGCCATGTCTTGTAGGAGGTGGATCGCCCCATCCCTCAGGGCTCATCGAATAACAAGGACAGCACACTTAAGGATGACCCAGGTCGGCCCAACAACTAGTTGCGCCTCAACTCGGCCCGATTCCACTCGTCCCTGCGACTAGACGACAAGAGGCAGCCGAGTGACACGCGCCTTAACGGGCCGACCAAGAGGCCCATTAACGAGAAACCCTTTACGGGATGCTGACCTAGGTCATTGGAAGAGCATAGAATGCTATAAAAGAAGAGGAGGAGACGATAAGAAGGGGATCCAGAATTGAACACTCACTTACAAGACGGCTATAACTAGGGTTTTCACCTCTTTGTACTTTTCCGACTTTTGCTCTCACGGCTGAGCTCTTTGAGCAACGCCATCTCGTCTCGTTTATTTCCTTATTTGTACACCAACTCTTTCATCAATAAACTTGCTCTTCCACTTATAAATAGTAGAACGCCTTTGAAAATACCCATAGACGAGTCCAGTCACTCACTTACTGATAGTGGACCGAACTCAGTTCGAACAGTTGGCGCCCACCGTAGGATATAACAAAGTAGCGTCAATATAGGAATGAGTCCGAGTAACGATTCAACCTCCGGCGAAGAGGGGGATTCCGTAGAACCAACCCTGAACACCGCCGTACTGCTCGCTCCGACGTTTGTCGACTCTGTCATGGAGCGCCTTGCTCGCCAAGACAAAGCTCAGAAGGCGACAAACTATCACCTCGCGGCTATCGCCACCATACTCGTAAACCCAGACGGTGCTGGAGGAAACCTTTCAACGGCACGACGATTTCTCTTCAACACAAACCCTACCCCTACTCCGGCTACTCCCTTTTTTTTATTAAACACCCCCAAATGGGAACCTTTCACAAACTTTCTACTCCTAGCTCTTCTTTTCTCTTTTTTTTTTTTTGTTTTATTGACAAGGTTTTTCTTTAGGTACATTCCAGAGCTTTTCTTCAATTGGTTTGGTTCCTAGTGGCTTTCTTTCTTTTCTCAAGATACTGAGTGTTTCAACTTTCTCATGATCTCTCTCTCAAAACCCAAGATTTTAAATTTAGAGCACATAAACCCACCCACCATCCTAGATGCTAGCTCAAAAGAGGTTCCTATGCTAGCAAGAGATGAGAACAATCCTATGTCGCCTCCACTACTCTCAAGATTTTGCACATGACAAACTATCAAAAGAAGGCCTCACTCATGCAAATCAAATGTTTGGTCTCAAAAGAATGGCTTGGGTACAACTTAAGGGTGTGGAGTACAATTTGGGTTAAAAAAAGAGTGGTAAAATGGAATAAGATAACCCAAATGTGTATGAGATCCATGATCAAGTATGCAAGTGCCCATATGCAAGAGAGATTAAGTTCATTAAGCCAAATTTCAGATTGGAGCTGGTTTCAAGAACAATGTCAATTTCAAGCAAGCAAACATGTTTCAAGAAGAGTTTTCAAGGCTCGAAGCGTGCAAGGTTTTCAAAAGATGCTCAAGCTACTTGATGTGTCTAACTAGGGTGTCATTTTGAGCTCTTGACAAGTGTTCTTCACAAGGTGTTTTAAAATCATTGTTCCCAATGCAATTGAATGCAAAATATATGCTCTAGACTCTCCTAAAAGTAGAAATGATGCAACCTATATGATTTTTATTTTGGTTTTTTAGTTTTTTTATTTTTTTGGTTTTTTTTTATATGTAAATGTACAATGCAATGCATGAGACTCAAAATTATCAAAGAAAACATGATTAAATACTTGGTACCTCCCCCAAAATTAAGTCACACAGTCTCTGTGTTGTTAAGTTGAAAGAGATACCCAAAAGAGAACTAAAATGCAAACATAAAAACTAGTATGTACAATGGTAAGTAGTGGAGTACCTCACTAGTTATCGGGATTGGAAGGAGTGTCTCCGGACTCGCCTTCGCCAGGGTAGGTTATGTAGTAGCCTTGTTGTGGACCGCTGTAGCCATAAGGTGCACCGTATTGGCTGTATGCAGCATTGTAGTAGCTGTAGGGTGCACCGAAATTGTTCATTGGTGTTCTACTCACATCGTCACTAGAATCATCATCAGAAGATGTCAAGGATGGAGATTTGTTCCCTGAGTCTGATGGAGGACGCACAAGTTGCGCTGAACACGCTCTTGCTGGCTGGCACGCTGAGGCTGAGGAGCTGATGTGTTGGCCATTGGAAAGTTACTGGAGCTACATCCTCCTACTCCTCCTTTTACCAAAACATTGGCCATCTTCTTCAATGTCTTCTTCATTGTCTTCTTCAGCTCCTTATACTTTGTCTTAAGCTTGTAGAAGGCACGATCTTGAGCTTTGTTCCATCGCTGAAGCTTATCAATGTGTTCATGAGCTTCGCGGAGAGGGCCTGGGGCTAGGGCTCCTACATAGGGCTCAAAGTAGTAACGAGGTGGGCCGTAGATTGCTTCAGCATTGTCCTCCTCAATCTCTTGTCGTTCCAATCTTGCATATCGAGATGTTGAATAACTCCTTCTCCTTTTGCTTACTACCATGGGGCCTAGTGATCCATGAGCCCCGAGTACATGCTCATCCCGAATATCAAAGGCAACTGCTCCTGGAAGCTGTAGAATTGTGATGATCTTGTTTGGGCGGACCACTTCAACAATTCTACCCATCTTCTTGTATTTGTAGACACATGATCCTTGGTATATTCCACTGAAAAATTGAGCAATTTTCATGTGATTCCATCAAGGAAGGTGGGACCAATGCCATCAGACTTTAAGTTAACACCAACATGCTGAAGCAGAGGACTGATCATGCCTCCAATCCCAATCTGAGGCTCTGAATCCTCTGTTGGCCAAGCCCAATCCATATAGTACTCAAGGCGTGTCATTAAGAACCCAACCATTCCAAAGTCTTTGTAGAGCTCACTGACATCAAACGGGATCTTCTCAGGTGCGAAAGATTTCAGAGCTAGACAAAGGAGTCGCATTTCATCTTCAGTTACTGAGCCGGGCTCCTTACGAGGGAAGAAAGCATGCACTAGCATCCTGTGAAAGTATCGTATTGCTGGGTTCCTGATAGCTGAGTTTTTGTCTGACCCTGGGATGTGATCTGTGCCAGAGATCGCGTTCCAAACCTTCGCTGGAATGTTGTTGTTCCTGGAGACTCCTCTAAGCCTAGGGAGATGAAAGTATTCTGCATCCTGAAATCCATACAACCTCCCAATATCCTTGAAGTTGACGTTGTGAACTCTCCCTTTAACTTTGAATGTTAACTTCCCCCATCATTGCCTCACATGCTGAGAGTCATGATAAGTAACCACCAATGAGGACAAGAACTCACAAGACAGCTCCTTGTAGGTTGGATGAGCGAAGGAGTAGAAGCTAGACATGTTCATGTTGCCTAGCAGAGCCTTGACATCTTCATCAATACCAATCTCCTCCATCAGTTCCGTATCTCCAAAACTTGTAGCAAGCCAGCTCACACCAGTCTTTAGGAAGTCTAGAAACACAGCTGGAGTTGGTTTCTTGTCTTTTTCTCTATTAGCATAGGGCTTTGTTTCCTCATCAGTAGACCTCCTTACTTTCTTGGTTGGAGCTGGCTCTTCTCTACTCTCTTCATCACTTTCAACTCTGCTGGAGGTTTCTACCTTCTTTCCATCTCTTTTCTCTTGCTCTTTTGCTTTCTTAGCTGCCAACACTTGTTGTCTAGATGATCCTTCTGTAGGTTTGCAAGTTAGACTCTTTCCTCTCAAAGCAGTCTCTTTTTCTGCTATTGATTTCTCTTTTGCAGCCTCCTTGTCTCACTCTGTCCTTTCCATTTCATCACAGCAAGGTATGGAGTTTTAAGATTCAAATTTGTGGGTCCAAAAACCCTATTTTTGAAAACTTGAATTTTACTCAATTTCTTGCTTGATTGTGGCTAAATAGGCTAGGGAATGCTTATATATCTTCCGTTGAATATTATGAAAGCAGTGATTATGAATAAGTCTACTAGCCATCTTAACACCTTTAACAACAAGTGTCCTTGGTAAAGAATGTTAAAAGCTTAGGAGAGTTGACTCAGTCATTTCATCGAACACCTTATGAGTGGGAAATGTCTAGAGATCACCCTTTGAGTGGCCAACTCAAAAGAGGCATTAGGATTACTCTACTAGCAAGGAATAGGAGAAATCTACACTAAAACATCCTAGTTCTAGACTAATCATCCTTAGTCTCTCTAACCCATGAATTCAATGGTGATTTACTCACTAATCATCATGATTACTCTTAAACCCATGTTAGATTCAAGTTTAATCATGTAGATGATGAAATAGAAAAGTAAAACAATGGATAATGAAGACAATGATCTTAGAAGATGAACTTTCCAAAAGGTTTTCAAATGTTTCTCTTCAAGAACAAAAGATAATCTCCTCTAGTGGCTTACAACATAACTTAAACTTAGGTTTTTCCAACTCAAAACATAAAAAACGAAATTGCAAAAGGTCCTCAAAACAAGTATTTTTCGTCCAAACATAAGCGCGCAGCGGGGTCACAACCCCGCTGCACAACCCCGCTGCGAAGCGGCCCCGAACCCCGCTGCCTGAGTCCGCTGTGGTCTGGGCCGACCCCCTGACTCCGCTGNACAACATAACTTAAACTTAGGTTTTTCCAACTCAAAACATAAAAAACGAAATTGCAAAAGGTCCTCAAAACAAGTATTTTTCGTCCAAACATAAGCGCGCAGCGGGGTCACAACCCCGCTGCACAACCCCGCTGCGAAGCGGCCCCGAACCCCGCTGCCTGAGTCCGCTGTGGTCTGGGCCGACCCCCTGACTCCGCTGCGTGACCCCGCTGGGAGCGCTATTTCCGTGTTTAGTCTCGTGAACGTGAGTGGCCCTGCTCACCCACTGCACGGGTCCGCTGTGGGGTGAGCCGACCCCCTGCCTCCGCTGCCTGACCCCGCTGTGGTCTCTCATCTCGCCAAATGGCCCTCTTTTGGCAT